ATTTACGCTTGATATTTTGACTTGAACCTGCCATGAAAGGTTTTTGCCCATTTATTGATGGGAAGCAGTGTATCTTGTAGGTATTTCTCCTTCATCAGTCCAAGGGAGGAGGCTCTTTGGTAAATACTAGTTAGCTTGTTTCCAGTAGCCAATTCTGTATTTGCAGTCATCTTCATCTGGAAAATGTTACTTTGCTCTATACCAGGATTCCTATGTTAGGGAGGATCTGCCAAATGCCTCCCTGTTCACAGGGGGTACTGTCACGCTTTTCTAGATGGTTTATAAGCTCTTTCTGAGGAGCTGAACTGGCTTATTTGTACTTGGGTGGTTTTGGGGTTTTTTTGCTTTTTCAATCAAGCCTTGCTTGCACTAACTGTTCTTAATAACAGCTTCCAACCTGGGTGGAACAAGCTGCCTCTTTGTCCAGAGCCCTATCTGGTATCATAATAGGGAAGGGTCTAGGGGCACAACTTGGCCATAGTGCACAGAGAATGAGAAATAAAGGGAAAGTGCTAAACTCTAGATGATGTTTGGTTATAGCTAATTATGAATGAAAGTGTGCTCACTTTTAAGTACACCAAACAGCATGCGGATTATTTGTTGGAGGAACAGAAAGTTGCTGAAGTGGTTGGTCAAAATTCTGCAGTTGGCTTCAGCTTCAGCAGAATTTTAGCCCTGATTAGAGGTGCACGCTGCTTTTGGATGATGTGAACCTTCTAAAGATTAGAAACAAGGTGAAATCAACATCTTAATTTTAGCTCTCAGGGTTCTCATGACTTAACACTTATGTCAAGGATAGATAGGTTTTGCAAACATCTGCTTGGAATATCTCTTTTTCTTAAATACAAGAAAAGCCCATTGCACTTTGTCAGTTCTGCCTGTCTTCTATGAAGTTGCAGCCTTTTTGTAGTTTGTAAACGAGCTGTGAAGAGGTAGCCAAATAGTAGCATATATATGTATGTGTGTATATATGCTGGATTTTTTTACACTTAAAAACTGAACAAATGTCTGAAAGAGTAAGATATCATCAGCCGATTAGGATAAAAGGAGAATTTAGGGAAAATTTGATTAATGTATGGCAAACAATGTGATTGAGGAGGCTTCAGGCAAGGTAGTGGAGAACAAAAAGCACATGGGAGAGAGGTGGGGGGAGGAAGTAGATGGGGATGTCAAATTTCAGATGCTTGGATCCGATCAGAAATACCTGTCACTATGGAGCTGATCACTGAAAAACTGGGGGGGGGGAAGCTGTGATCAGAGGCATGCTATGGCTTGTGTGCTTCTGCTCAGTAAATTAGCTTTGCATTCCTATTCCAAATCATTGCTAACATAAGAAGTTATGCATAAGGTGAACTGGTTTTGAACTTACGGGATTGTGAAACCTCAAGTGAGCTTTTCTCCCTCCACCCCTTTCCATTGGCTTCAGAGAAAAATTTGTATGGTATTGGAGGTAAGGGTTATTTTGCGTTCTCTACTGCAAAAGCACGGTGTGCATTCTGTATGCAAACTTAATTTGAAAAACGTTTTCGGAGCTGTCAGAATGGCCCTCAGTGGAAAGGCAAAGAAGCTATTAATGGTACGTGAGTTAACCGTCAGCAAATAAAGAACTGAATACATAGAAAGGAAAACCAAATGCTAATAAAAAGGTGTTATAGATTTATAACTGGGAAGCAGAGATAGGCGTATGGCCAAAAGATTTTCTGGTTTTCAGACCTCTCTGTAAACTTCTACTGCACAGTCCTAGAAACCAAACCAATCCTAGATTTTTTTTTTTTTTTTACTTATTATAGACTAGCTTTGCTTAGAAACTATAATGAGACACAGTGATTACAGCACATAGATCTTACTCATCTGATGTCTGTGTATGTACTGTTTTCAGTGACAGGTCCCTGAAAGAATCCCATTAGCACTTGTGGGGCACGCAGTCCTTTAATTCAGCCCTGCGTATTGGTCCGACGGAAGCACATACTGCAGGCTGCTTTTATTGTTTTGCTGTCACTATTTAGCCTATTAAAACTACTTGCCCTGTAAGAAAATGAATGGGAATATTTCCCCCAAGCTCAGACTGTTTCAAAGACACTTTGTTCGGATCATTTGCCACTTCGGTGAATGTTGTTTTTAGAATTGGAAGTGTCAGCAAATATTTCGTTATTAAATGATGCCTCCCTTTAGTCTTTTTTTTTTTTATTTTTTAAAGATGGACAGTAGGAGAACAGATGACCAAAACTGATCTGCACTGAACGCAAGACTGTACGTTGTGTGCTGACTGGGGGGAAAAAATGCACTTGCTGGCTTGCTAAATTGAGATAATACTTTGGATGTTGACAGACAGAGAAACAATTAGAGCTGTCGGATGCTTTGCTGACGTGTGCGTTGTCACATGGAGAGATGGCTTGTTTTGTGCCAGTAAATGTGAACTGTTCAACTCTCAGCAAGATATTAAGTTAATTAATTAAGTTCCTTACGGCTGGGCTTGGAATGTGAGGTCTGTTTATTTGTGAAGACAACTGGTCCAGGAATAAACCACGGAGGTCACTGATGGGACCTGTTAGGTGTTTTCTCAATTGCTGTTACATTACAGGCTAGTAAAAGACTTTCTTCTCCTTAGTTTATTGGTACATTAAAACGGTGTTACCTGACTGAAGTGCTTTTGTATTTGTACACTGTTAATACTTGTGCGGATAGTAGTTTTCTTTGAAGTATGTCACTTTATGTGGGAAAATGTTTATTTAAACTTTTTGATTTCTTTGGGTTTGCAGGTGCTTACTAATGTCTCAGAAGACTCTACTTCTGTATACACTGGTATTCTTAAAAGCTATCACTTTTTTGTTGATTAATTATACCAGCATATTGGAAATCTGGTTTTACTTATACATTTGGACTTATTCATGTTTCTTTTGTTTTCTAAATGGGTACATCTGGACAGGGGTTTCGGGGTGCGTGCTCTGCTGACTTTCAGCAGACTTGCTTAGTGCTTCTCCACTAAAGCTTGACCTGTCAATGTGGTGTGCCTGCTCTGGCTCTAAACGGGCTTTGAGGTGTGTCGCTGCTGACTGCCACAGCTTGTCAGGTGAAGATCAGTGTGTCTTCTGGATCATGTGTCGGTATTTGTCAGCTGCAGAATGAAGTATTTGGTTGTAGAAGGGAAATCATATATCCACTCTAGCTTGAGGGCTGCACTAGTACATCTTTTTGATGCAGAAAGAGATGTTCACTTCACCAGGAGAAAGCAGCCCTGAGAAAGCAGCTCTGATTAGACTGTAAAACATAAACTCGGGAAGCAAATATTTAGTACAGTTCTTCCTGCATCGTTTCTGCCTCCACGTGCAGTTCTGTTAAATCCATCAGCATCATCAGATTCCATGTTTCTTGTGTAACCCTACTCTGCTTGTCCTTACTAATCTTCTCTAAATAACTTTCAGATTTCTTTTACTCTATTCCTGTGTTACCCATTTTCCTAGTACTTAATTCTTCAAAAATATTGTCTTTAGTTTTATTACTTTATCCATATTGGATTACCTGAATACATGAGCTTCCTTTATTGTATTATCGTGGTGTATTTTTCCTCTATCTGCTTAAATAACCCAGCGCTCTCATTAGTTTTTTGGGGTGGGGTTTTTTGTGTGTGTGTTTTGGTGGTGGTGGTGGTGTTTTTTGTTTTGTTTTTTTGTTTGTTTGGGTTTTTTTAAGAAAAATCACCATTATTGGTGGTTTGGTTTTTTGGTTTTGTTTTAGGGTGGGTTTTTTCTAATTCTTAAGACAAGTCGTCTTGGAGTTGTTACTCTGAAATTTATGAAATTCAGCATCTCGGCAGTTCCAGCTGGAAATTAATTTTTGTGAGCCATGATGCTGGTGGATCTCTTTATGCAGAAGAAAAGCAGCTCCTACAAAAGCTGTGCCCATAGCAAAACCACTAGAGTTCAGAACAGTAATTAAGCTAGAAGTTAACACCAGATAAACCTTGAGCGGCTTGACTGTTGGTAACAAGACAGCAGAGGGCAAATGGCTGATTGCTAAGTCCTAACCTCGCTCCCTAGGTTTCTAACTTTATTTCTATGCTTCAAAGTTTTCCCGGTATTTGAGTGCAGAAAGAGATTTTTGGACTCATGGGATGTTTTCTGTTTCAGAAGAAAGCAACCCTCTGAACATTTTTTCCATTTACAAACTTTGGGAATTTTCTTTTTTAAAATTAAATTGGGAGCTAGTACACCATACTAGCTGGTATGACTTTGGTGTTATTTCAGCGAAGGCAGTAGAACCATGCTCAAAAGCGAGAACTGGCTAGACTGGATGGTATGGCTTGCTTTTTGGTTTAGTATCATTGCAGTGCCTATGGAAAAACCCAGGATAAACTTTAGCCAAAGTCTGTTTCCTTACAGAACCAGCACAGTGTTGGCAGGAGTGAAACCATCTCTACAACACTTTCCCTGATGCATCTCCTTGTTTTAGAGAAAGAAAGAAGCAATCTCTCTGCTTGCTTTCCTTTCTGGGTTTTCCAGTGCTGGTACTAAATGCACAGGTTTGTTGGGACCAAGAACCTTCAGCTGCTTCTGTATGGAGAGCAAGGTTGGACTCTCACAGATGGCTGTAATTAAAAACATTTCCCCCTTGCGCCACTACCTGCTAGGAATTATTGAACAAACACTGAAAGTGTCTATAACCAGTCCCTTGAGACATCCAGGCAATATGTAAAGGAAGAGGGGCACCTGTTACTGGAAACTGTTACGAGTTTACTCCGGAGTGTTTGTTTAATGCTATTTCTTTTGGTGCTTTTTTTGTGATAACTTTGAATATTTTAGGAAATAAACTGTAATGAAACTTCTGGTAAGTCTACAGAATGGGTAGATATTGCTAAAGCAAGGGATGTTTGATTCCTGTTATTATTTTTAAAGCAAGGAGGCTGCGTTGCCTCTTCTACCCAATAGATGTTAAGGTGAATTTGTTAACTTTTTACATCTGTAATGCCTCACTATAAACACCAGGATTTTTTTCTCTTCTAGCTGCTGAGAGAAGTCTGCTGCATTCTCTCTGGTGTAGCCGCAAGTATGACTTGACTGATTTGCATTCATGGCTCTTGGATGATCTGGTGAACCATGGAGCTCAAAGTATGGGTGGATGGAGTCCAGAGAATTGTGTGTGGGGTCACCGAAGTCACAACATGCCAGGAAGTTGTAATAGCCCTTGCTCAGGCCATTGGTAAGTAACTCTGTCAGTTAGGTGTCTGGGAACTGGGGTGAAACTTTTTTTTATTAAGCTAAACCGAGGGGAGGTGGGGTTGCACTGAATGTCAGTAGAGCATGAACATATAATGCACAGTGGGATAACCTTGCACTGTAAACTTGCAGCCTTTGATTTTTAACCTGCCAGAGAGAGATTAAAAAGAAAGAAAAGAAATGCTTTGAACTCTATAAACTTCCATTCAGTACAAATTTATTCTCTAAATAATAATATGCTGCTGTTTGTCATTGTAAATACAGCCTGGACTAAGGAAGGTACTAACTGTCAATGTTTTGAGTACCAAAGAAATATAAAAGCAGTGCAAAATAATTGGTTGGCTTTCACAAGCTAATGATGCTCATTGAAATTATATGCATTGTAAGTATCCCTAGCTATACTGTGAATAGTATAGATCAATGAAATAGATCCTTCAAGCTCTCCTCTTACTCCTGCAGGCCACATAACTCGGTAGTAATGAAAGCATAACTTGAAGTCTGTTCAGTGTTAGCTATTTGCTGAACAGTTTAGTGAAAAAAAAAAAAAAAATCTTTCAGGTTCCACTACAAGAAAGAACATTCCTTCAGTCTTGTCAGATCTTTCTCAGTGATTGAAAGCATCCTGAATAAGCCTCAACTTCATCCCTTCAGTGCTTCCTATGCTGAATCTTTGCTAAAATTTTATAATTGGCTTTACATACTATTTAAATTTAGGCATTAAAACCTATGTCTTACCTAAAATTAAATTCATAATTTAAGGGCTAGCTTTTGCATTTGTCAATATTCCAGCAGTTTTGCAAGATTGTATTAGCAGTCTGACTCGATTGCAAAATAATAATTTTCTAATAAAAACCAACTTAGGGCCATGAATGTCAACTAGATAGTCTACCTATAAGCATGAAGTCAATTTCTCTGAATTTCTGTGATGTTTATTTATTTAAATGTGTACTTGTGAACATCATTTCCATATACTTTCATCTGATGGAGTAGAAGACTGGCACTTTTTTTATTTTATATCTTAAGGGGATCGAACACAATGCTAGCATGTGTATACTCTGTCTATATGCATCAAATACCTTTTAAAGTTTCATTTAAAAATTGTAGAAAGTCAGTACGCCTCTAAAATCTTGTATTCAATGGTTAACTGTTAAGTGTGCTTTTACTGTTTGTGTTAGTTGCAGCTTTTCATTTAATGCTAATTGATTTATGAATTGCTTGCTTCCGTACCTCATTTTCTGCCTATAGGTTTTTTTAAGACACAGTTATGTTAGTACGATTATTTCCTAGTAATGATTAAGAAGTGTAACGTATTTAGAAAAAATAAATAAATAAACTGGTTGTGATAGACTTCTGTTCTTTACTTTGCTTTCAATATCTCTTTCATCCTGTTTCCTTTGCCTCCTCCCCCAAAACAAAAAATGTCAGACTCCCAGTTCTAGACAATAATTTAATGTTCTCCCGTGTAATTACTCTTTGTTTTTTCTGTATCCTCAGTTATTAGCCTGAACTCTGAAAAGACTCCATCAGTCTTGGAAACGCACACAGTTTTTGTCAACTCAGCAGACTTCCTTTTCTGTAACACGTCATCAGTTCATGTGGGGCATGCGACTCTGGTTCCATGCGGAGATAAATTTCAGTTGCAACCAGAGCCAAATTAAGATAATCCTTTGGAAATTCCTTCCTGAGGCAAATATGCTCTCTAGAAAACACCTAGAGTAATTGCGCTCCAGTTTCTCACTGGAGCTGCTAGGACAATATTAAACACCATATAAATTACACTTGTGTGTCTTTGGCAGATAGGGCTTTCCCAACCCTCCTGTCAGGCCATTCATCAGAAAAGCAACCACATGCCTGCCCCTTTGATTTGGCTATAGGTACCAGCTTACCAGGCATATTTGTCCCTCGAATTTGAATGGGAATCTATTAAAATGTATCCCTCTAGCTCTCACCTGACATTTGGTGGTGGAAAGTAGCCAGTCTTAGTTGGCTTCCTCCTTGGTTGGCTCTGATCTTATTTTCCACTTTGCAGTCTGGCTCCTTCAGCAGTCGCATAGCTTAGCAGGACTCAGTATTATTTTGTCTGTCTGTCTGGTCTGTCTGCAAAGTTTTTGAGATGCTCCTTTTGTTTTATCGTGTCTTACAGTTTATTGCTAGGTCCTTGACTTAAAAAATACAACACAGACACACAATGCAGTCTTCTTCACTGAGCCTGAAATATGAACTGCAATAGGTGTATCATTTGTGATGAAGTGCAGTGTCTGGAATATCTGCAAATTAACTTACTTTATAGCCGTATCCACTGAAGAAAACACAAGCCGAAGATACTTGGATTAAGACATCCATAGTTCAAGAAGCTTCTCATGGACAAACTGAAGGTGCCTCTATTCTAGAGATATGGAAAGTAAAGCTTTACAATGTATTTCAAAAATAGGAAAATCAAAATTATTATAGAATGGGCTGTGTTTGGAAGGCACCTCTGAACATCTTCTAGTCCAACTCTGCTGCTCAAAGCAGGCACAGCTAGAGCAGGTTGCTCAGGACCATCTGCAGTCGGGTTTTGAGTATGGCCAAGTATGGAGACTCCACCACCTCTCTGGGCCACCTGTTCCGGTGTTCAGTCACCCTTGCAGTAAGAGGTTTTTTTCCTTATGTTTAAATGGCATTTCTTGTATTTCAAGAAATTTCTTTTGCTGTCAAATGCAGGGCCACATCTCCTGATCTCCCACTGTGATAAGAGCAACAAAAAGGTTTCCATCTATTTACTTTCCAACTCTCCCCTCATGTCATGGAAATTCAGTAATAACTTTCTTCAGGATACAAAAGTATTCTTCCCCCTCACCCAGATGCAAAGACAAAGACTTATGTTCTAGGGCTATTTTAGCCAAACAAAAATAGTAAGTCGTGCTGGGTTATGCCCCTTTGTAGGAGGTTCTGTCCCATACCCAAAGTGTAGCCTAATCCTTTGGCAGTGGAGTTCTGTCACTTAATTTGCCTGGCTAATGCTCTTTGACCTATTCCTTACAAATTGGCATCTGCCACTATTGACTCTTTCAGTGGAAAGGCCTGCATGTGTCTCTTCCTTTGAGGTTGTACTCCTGATGGATAACATTTGTGTTACCTGTTCTTGTGCTATGATCTGCTTCCCCTGTTGCCCATCTCTTGATTGTTGAGGAATAGGAACTGATTCTACTCCAAGTTTCTGTACAAATTAGGGTTTTTTAACTTCTTGTTTGGCTTGAGGTTAAAGGGTTTGAATTAAGTCTCAAATAAACCTCATTCTTTAAAACGAAAAGAAGAGAGACAGTTGTCTCTTTCAGGGATCCCAGCAAAGCTTGTTTTAAAAATACATGTATATATTTTAATGAATGTGAGAGAGAATAATATCAATTGGATGTAATTTTGGATACTGTAATTGATTGTGTCTCTAAATTAGAATGAGTTAGAAATGCCTTAGCTGGAGGGAGGGTCTCTGGAATTCTGTTCAAGACAGGCATAAAACTATCCAGTTACAAGTTTCCAGAGAGTGAAATCACCTCCCACTGGGATCTTGAGGAACACTTCATATTACCTTTTATGAGTTTTATCCAGGGCTGCTTTATTTCCTTTTTTTTTTTTTAACTCAGGCTGCTTGCAAATTACAAAGAGGAAGATTTGGCCTTATAATACAAATAAGAGAAGTGATCATTTCATAATGAGAAACTAAGCCCTCACCAAAATGTAAAAATATACCACAGCACACAGTTTAAATGGAGAACCATGAGTCTTGTTTTAAAAATATTTTTGCCAGGAGAGATGAGCTAGATTTTATCACATCCATCATTGTCTATTTTTAAAATGTATATTTCACAGCAAATTCTGCCTGTTTTTCTGCTTCTACTAGCTTTTCTGTGCATTCTGTGAAAATCATGCAAGAATGGCTTCATATAAATGTTGCTTGCTCATTTTGATTCCTTTTCTTAATTTGGGCAACTGAAAAACAAGTAAAAAAGAAGTTATTGATACTTTTCAATTGTACGTATGATGAGATAGTTGGTGAATCCAGTCAGGGGTCTGTTTTGCAAAGTACTATATGGACTTAATAGTCGAATGCGTGTGAGCGTAGTGGCTTCTCTCAAACTCATTGTAATACTGAGGGGAAAAACAGATGGTATCCTAAAAGAAAGTGAGCTAATCATGGTAGCTGATAGTTTAGGCAAATGTAGTTTTGCTACGGAAGATTTCTTTTTTTTTAAATTGGCTTTTACTTGTTTTCCATTCAAATCTAAAAAATAAAAATCTTCCAAAGGAACATGGTGATGAATAGCGCAGTCACAAATATACTTGCCCTGTTTCTTCAGAAGTGTTCTCCCAGTTCCAGCCCCTGTGAGGATTTTTACTGCACTTACTGTGATTTCTTTTCCCTCTGGAGACTAGAGTGCATCTTCTGTACTCAGAATGACATGTTTGTTTCCTAGAAAGACAATATTTCAGTCCAGAGACGTGAAGCTTGAATTTCTTACCAACGTGCGCTTTTGTTTTCTGCCCTCTCCATAATTTTCTGTGGCAAATAATTAAAATGGCAGACTTGCTTTAAATAGTGCTGTGGATTTTGGTTTTCTGGCTGTAGCACAATATCAGGAGAATATGAGCAACACTTCACTGAACAAGAAGTACAGCTGTGTCTTTTTAAAATTAAACAAATGCAGCTGTCAATTTTTTTATTGCAGTTGAGTATTTTTCCTCAAAGATAAATGGGGTGTATTTATGAAAATAAAGCACAGATTTGTTCCTGCTGTTTCAAACATGCATTACAGCGTTGTAAGGCTCAGCCAGAGTAGTATCTGGAAAAATGACACCACTTCATTGTTGTGTCTTCTTATGTTCGTCCCTTCCTCCAAATAATTTCTGCTAAAGCAAGTGCCAGAGCTGGCTGTCAGACACTTTGAGAGAGAGAAAAGAGTCTGGGGTTGAATTGAATCATAGCGCTGAGTCTGAAGAGGATTAGAAAAA